CCAATTCTTCATATATTTAATGAAAGATTAACCAATCACATACTAACGATAAATTGAGTAAAATCATCAAATGATAACATCTTATTGAGTCATAGTATAAGATAAATATGTGATATCTCTAAAAGAATTAATTAGGGCAAAAATTATGTTAATTACCCGTCTATAGATACCTTTTATAAATAACATTACTAATTTCAGATTTTGAAAAGATTAAAACTAAAAGCATATTTCATGAAAACCAAAATAAATAAAATAATAATTTAATACAAGAATGATAAATTAAAGGGAGAGAAAATTTTACAAGAACCAAAACAAAAGCATTATTGTTTCATAAAATTAGAAAAGCATAATTAAGTAAATTATTTTCTTTTAGCAAGGGTTTTTTTTTATTTATTTTAGTTTTACAAATTAAAAAAGATTAAACAAACATCTTTAAATTAGTATAATCAACTTGCTTAAATAGGCTAATGTAGTTTAATACCAAAATTTTAAACAAAATATAAGTGTTTTATCTAAACAGGCTTATGATATTATTATTTAATATTTGAAGAGAAATAGTGGTGAGGAAGTGTGGGAGGTAAATAGACTAATAGCCAGTTTGAAATTTTCGATTTGAAACGTCTTAAACACAAATTTAATAGTTTCTTCCTTTGAGGTTAAGGCTCTTCAGAAAGTGGTCAGTGTATAAAATATAAACTCATTCAATTTCATTAAATGTTAGTAGAATAATAGACTCCCAAGAAATAAAGCATTTTGTAGACCCTTCACTTTCACATTTTTTCATATATAACTTTTAGCTTAAATGTTATTATGGTTAATGGGTGACATCTAGCTGCAGCATGGCATATTACTTTCACCATTCCACTATTTTAACTTAAAAGTTTCATCAAGTATTAAAAATAGCACAATTAATATATTATATTTTATAGAATATGGTCTTTATATTTAATAGTCCTAAGCTTTTAGGAATTGCAGATAAAGGTAATTTAAATATAACTCTTTAAAAGATAAAGTTATCTTTTTTAAAAATAAAAATGTGTTGAAAGCTTTAAATTTTAAAATAAACACACAATGTTATCTTAATAAACAAGTTAGAATATTAATACAGTTTGTGATGATGAAAAAAAGTTATAAAGACAAACCTTCGTTTAGTGAGAACCATTACATTCAAAGTAAAGTAGAACGAAGGGAATGGAATATCACTCGAACAAAAAGATAACAAGTTTGCTCAATCATATTTGTAAATACAATTTAATAGAAATAAGATACTACTAGAGTGAAAGCATTGTACAAGGAATGTATAACAATGGAGGAATACAAATTCCCAGTCCAAGAATAGGAGCATCCAAGTAAACACCCAATGATGAACAATTGAAGGAAGTTCTCACCAGATAAGTGAATGGCACTGAATATAACTGAGCTTATGGCAACAGCTTGTGGCCATTCCATGGTGGATGAAAGTGATGTCAAAAGAAATCCCCTATAAACAACTTCTTCCAAAAGGGGAATGACAATGCAATAAGCAAGCACACAAGACACTCTTGAGATTCCACTACTTAGGAGCATTTCCTTCTGAATGGGGTTGCTCACAGGCTGCATGCATATGGTATAATTAAAGTTAGGGGAAAACACCACCATTTCATAACTTTCAACCCATTTCAAAAAATTTGCAAAATTTAGAATAACTACGTACAGAATCATGAGGTCTGGTAGGAGGAAATGGACAAAATGATAGTTCCATGGTTTGAAATAATAATGCTTTTAATAATAAGCATCAGGAGAATATGATAATGACACATTTCAACAGCTCACAAAGTTAAGTAGTAGTATGAGTGCTGGATATGTTCCACAATTTAATCAATCACTAAGATTGTTATACAACGTAGGCAGTGCATAACAGTTCACATTAGTTAACTTTAACAGGGTGTGCAGCAACTTCTCTAAAGTATTGAATTAAAATTATAACACGCATTTTTCAGCCATTTAGCAGTTTTAGAGCCTTATGCAATTATCTAACTTTTCTAAGTCAGAAGCCAAACACAACAATTGTTTCTTACCATCTATTTCCAAATTTGCCTTTACTCTCTTATTCCTTTAAGTTCCCCTTTATTCTTCCAAAAATGTAGTTCTTTGTTTTCTTACAACCAAGTGCTTTTCAATTTTTTAAAAAATGCTAGTTGATTGGAACTTGGATTTGTTTAAGATAATTTGGATATTACCAAATTACAACAGAGGTACATATTAAGAGTTCCTCAAAAGTCAAGAAAGAAAAAGAAAAGACACCACATATCATTCCAAATTTCTATAACATACATGTCATATCCCCATTAAACAACTGCTTACATCTTTTGTCTTCCCAATTTTACTTTATATTCCACACAGCCTCTGGCTTTATCCTGTTGCTTCTCACACCTGCTTCCATGTAAGCAAGTTTGTTATATCCCAAAGCCCTCTTTTGCCCTTACATATTTACTACATGGTTTAGCAACAGGAGTGCCTGGAACAACTTGAAAATGTGGGGTATTTTCCATGATTAGGAAGCACAATCTTTTGAGTCAAGGTTTATTAATTATACCTATTTACTAATGTTGATGCTTGTTAAAAAATATATTTCTGGTGTGAAAGGCAAAAACATAATGATACCAGTTTCTGGTTCACTACCTACAGCAGTATCGGTATTGAACAATATGGAATTTGAAAGAATGTGCTAGACATATAGTTTATATTGTTTCAGTACCTATGTAAGCAGCAAACACAATGCAAGAACTATGACAGTGCTGGGCATGTAGTTTTATTTTTTTTTTTCTACACAGATGAAATGATATAACTGGGAAAAAATGTAATCACCAACCTTGGAGCCATATAAATAGTCAGCAAGTAGAGATGTTAAGAAAATCAGAAGAGCAAGAAACCCAAATCCCAGAGCTGATGACAAAAACCAGTTCCTGTAGCTCCATGAGTTGTTCTTTTTGAAGAAATTCGTAAACTTGTATTGTGGCTTAGCTGTGTACTTCAACAAAACTAGAGTCCCACTAAGCTCGAGAATCTGAATGGTGAGAAGAGATAAGGCCTGCATCAGCGAGGGAAAAGATATTGTTAAAATGTCTACTCTAAAGACATAACAATGTGAATCAATGAACCTAAACTCTGGCAGATGTAAATTCAGACATTGAACTAAATCTAAAGATGAAGGACCCTTTATAGTATGTCATTTAGAAACACAAATTCCATTGATACTCATTGCACTGCCTTAAACTTCTAACGTACTCACTGCCTTATAAAGAAAGCTATCCCCAAGCACAAGAAGACAGCAAAGTATAAACCTTAAAACAACAACTTCCAATTAAATTTTGCAGAACTAAAAAAAAAGTACTGTTGATCTATACCCTATTAAAACAACAATAATAGTTAGAGTAAATGGTTATGCGGAAATCAACTCAATTGAACTTCACGCCAATCCACCTCCCTGCTTCCTCCTAGATTTACTCCTTTGAAAGTGTAATTTTCCATTTACAATGCTTCAAAAAAATTTCCAAGCACACCCTAAATCATCTTCTCTGTATTTTGGTCATCAGTCAGTTCTTCTCATTCATTNATATAAATAGTCAGCAAGTAGAGATGTTAAGAAAATCAGAAGAGCAAGAAACCCAAATCCCAGAGCTGATGACAAAAACCAGTTCCTGTAGCTCCATGAGTTGTTCTTTTTGAAGAAATTCGTAAACTTGTATTGTGGCTTAGCTGTGTACTTCAACAAAACTAGAGTCCCACTAAGCTCGAGAATCTGAATGGTGAGAAGAGATAAGGCCTGCATCAGCGAGGGAAAAGATATTGTTAAAATGTCTACTCTAAAGACATAACAATGTGAATCAATGAACCTAAACTCTGGCAGATGTAAATTCAGACATTGAACTAAATCTAAAGATGAAGGACCCTTTATAATATGTCATTTAGAAACACAAATTCCATTGATACTCATTGCACTGCCTTAAACTTCTAACGTACTCACTGCCTTATAAAGAAAGCTATCCCCAAGCACAAGAAGACAGCAAAGTAAAAACCTTAAAACAACAACTTCCAATTAAATTTTGCAGAACTAAAAAAAAAGTACTGTTGATCTATACCCTATTAAAACAACAATAATAGTTAGAGTAAATGGTTATGCGGAAATCAACTCAATTGAACTTCACGCCAATCCACCTCCCTGCTTCCTCCTAGATTTACTCCTTTGAAAGTGTAATTTTCCATTTACAATGCTTCAAAAAAATTTCCAAGCACACCCTAAATCATCTTCTCTGTATTTTGGTCATCAGTCAGTTCATCTCATTCATTTATTTGGTGTTAGCGCCTTATTCCTTAGTAAGATCATGGTAACGTACATTTGAATTACCAATTTGGTGATAAAATTTGGAGTAATATTGTGCTGACACGTTAATTTCTTAAAGAGACTAATTAAATAACATAAATCTTTAGAACATAGACAAAATAAGATCCTAAGATTTGGATGACATCGGGGTTTAATCAAATGATTTTGAGAAATAAATGAACAAATAACAAAAGTGACCTCAGTTTGTGGGTCAATAACAGGTTGTCCGTTGAATAAGGCCACAACGGATAAGCCTCCAAAACTGAAAGGGATGTGCAGAGTGAATAAATAGAGTGCAAGATTGCTCCACACATTTCCACTCTCCCATGGACTGTCTTCCTCTTGCAAGGCTGAGAATCCCTGGAATTTGGAATAACAAAAAGAACAATACTATTATGTTCTTGATAACATCAGAATTAGAGGGTCTGTAACCTGAGAAAGATTCAGCATGGCATTTCATACCTGAGAAAAGGGTGTGATTTCTTCTTCTTCTTCTTCCCTTTTGCAAAAGCTCTTAAAACTGTGGCGTTGGAAGGGAGTGCATCTCAACCGCAGTTTCGGTGAACATAGTTGGCTATAAATCGTGTTTGGAGGATGAAAGCAGTGAAAGGGTGTGCCCAAATCATTACTAACAAATTTCGCATAAGCATATGGACACCCCAGAACCAACAACATTTGACTCTTGAATTCAATCCTTAATTTTTACTCATTCTTTATTCTACATAATAGTATTTCATGGGTCATATTGAAGGTCATGAATTTGCGCCAAATATTTATTACTGTATCTAATAAAATTAGATTTGATTAGATAAGACATTGATCTAGATATAGCATTAATTAGTTAAGACTATAGTTAACTATGATTTTGTAAATACATTTAGATATATGCTTAAATTTTTAATATTTTGAAATTTATTATTATTGTTTTAATAATAATCTATATATAGGTATACTTTATTTTTATCCTAACTTGGATAATACACAACTTTTTAGAACTTTAAATAGTATTTTAATCATTATTTTTACTTTGTAATTTCCTTGTAGAGTTATTCTTGTTTTGAAAATAAAGATGGTTTATTTGAATTTCTTTACCATGCATAAATAAAGATTTTTACCATTCAGTCAATGTTAAAATATATGTATCAATTAGTTTTAGTATAACTACAGGAAAAATACGTTCCTAGGTGCATGCATTTTCATTTTTTATTAAGATAACACAAAAAATTAATTTTTATCATAATTATTAAAAATTTGAGATATAAAATAAATAAATTTTATAATTTTATTTATTACAAATAATTTTTAATTATAATTAATTAAATTAAAAAGTAATTATAACATCTAATTTTAACATAAAAATACTAAAATAGGTATGAGAGGATCAATAATTAAAGAACATATAATCGAACTTATAGATAAATGTTATTATAATTATCCATATATATATATATATACCAAGATTCTTATACCACATTATAAACAACAAACTAAATTACAATAAAACTTAGATTCTTTCAAAAAGGTAACAATACAAAACTAGTCAAACCTAAAAACTATAACATCTCCCTCATTCTGGATCAATGGTTACATTCTCATCTATTTACATCGATGGAAGTGATCATTTTAAAAAGAAGACAAACAACACAAGACAAAATACACATAAGAGTAAGCTAATATGGAAAAGAGATTTTCATATAATAGTAATAAAGTTAATATTTCATACTAGTCATTCATACAAACAAGAAAATCAGATAAAGAGTTAAACAAGACTAAATTATCCCGATTCATATACTAATATCAAACTTTGATAAGTTTTGCACTTGTGATGGCCTCTACTACTATGTAGAATCATTATCAATAAGTTTTACCTTACCATATACAAGGTTAGTCTATTATCATCTTTGGTCAAGATAAAACCCTTAGACCAAGACCTTGTATTCTTCTCACGACATACCTCACCCTTCTTTACATGAGATTGGATAATAATTAGAGCTTGGATAACTTCCAATATTAAATCCTTATATCAATGCATTCACTAAGAAAACTCAAACTTAATCCTCCTTAGATTTAGATAAACTATCTCGTTACAAATTCAAACACAGATAGTCACCGTAAACAACTTATAAGAGTTCACAACCACACCAGAACAATGAAAATGGAAGTGGTGTGAACGTGTTAGTCTCGCCAACAAAAAGTATCCATCTCAATGAGTAGTGCTGAAGCCCCACTCACCCCACTACCCAAACGTCCACCCAACAACATTGCACAGAAATCAAAGAGATTAAATCATCCAAAAATCTCCCACGAAAATCAAGTTAGTGGCACCCAACGCCCACAAGTCAGTCAACTCACTAACTTTGGTGGGGTCTAGTGGTACTGAAATTTCGTCGAATGCCAGTAAAGTCAAAGGCCATTATCCAAGTGGCACCCATTAGCACTCGTCGATGTATAAAAAAAGTGAAAATCCTCTTTGGGTTTTAATTGAGCAATTTGACTTTTTTCGAGCTCTTACACACTTAGCAAACTTCATAAATGTTTTAATATATCAGTCTCTTAGCTTAAGAAGTGTCAAATATGTTAAGATAAGATCGTCTAGTGAGACTAGACTGTGTAGTAACTTAGGCTTTGAAGTTTAACATACAATACTTAATGAAATATTGTTTATTGAGTGAAGCGTCTAAAGGATGTGTTTACTAAAGAAAAATGTTGAACAAAATAAGTGTTTGAACGTAATATACAATTATAACGTTTCACAACAACAAAGTTTTCCAAATATGTTCTAATAGACATGTTGTTAACAAACAACATAGCAAAAAGGAAGGAAATGCTAAGATTTACAACTTATCAAAACACAAAGATTTTAAGATTTTATATCTAAAAAGTGGGACAAACAATTTTCTAAATAAAAATAATCACTAGTCATCCAACATCATTCACCTTAAAAGATTACTAGATCTATACTTACCAATCTCACCCCAACCAAACTTTACCACACTACTTCCCATATTTCTAACTCAATCATACACAAATCACTCCTTGACACCATTCTTCACCTACACCACCTCTGTCATCTTCTCTTTCTTTTTTTTCTATTATGGGTCCTACCCCTATATATTTACCCCCCCCCCTCGACCCATG